TCCTAAGAGCTCAGTCAAGTGCTTGAAAGCAAGTTAACTGTCCCAATCCATGTAGCCCTGGATCAGTATATGTCTGGAGACCTCACGGCAAATTTGTAGCCAGGAATCTGAGGGAAGGAAGCCTTATTCCTTCAAACATCCACTGGCTCTATCTCCATAGTAAGGGCACCCGATCCCCTTCCAGAGCGAGAGGTGGTCTGTCTCTGCTGGGCAATGTACTGTGCTCCGTCTTCTGCAGACGCGGTATCTCCAGTATCGAAATAGCTCAGGCAAGAGCCACATTGAAACCCTATCTACCTCCGCGTCACAGCCTGCTCCCTGGGGAAATGGATTTGGCTTGAGCCCCTTCCAGGAGGAGGTTAGGAGATGGCCTGTCGGGAATTAAAATAGCTCCGGCAGTGCCCGCTCAGCTTTGCGAGTAGATAAGACGCTGGGCCCATTTTCACATTCCACTGCGTGGTCTCAGCCCTCCGTGTGGGCCCAGCAGAAAGGTAACTAGGACTCCCATTATCTCACTCTAATCTTGGAATTTTAAATGTTTATGCGGAGGAAAGTACAACTGACTCATTCATCTAATCACTTCCAAGAGGGGGAGGGAGAGCTAAGAGTCACCAGGCCAAGATCCCCAGGGGCCAGCGCCCAGAGCCAGCCCGAGGGCATAGCTGGGGAATGATATCAGGGCTTCCCAAAGCAGGTCCTTGTCATCGCTGGTCCCAAGTGTGTCCAGGGACAATAGCCAGTGCACAGCACTCCAGGAGCTGGGCAGGGGGGAGGCTGGCGCAGAGGCCCAGGGCCACGGCACGAAGCTGATAGACTTGGTTGTTCCTGAGGCAGCCAGATAAGCCGACCTCCGTCCCGCTCCACAGGAGTCTGGCCTGACCAGGAAGGAGAGGGGTGATGTGACACCCCTTCCTGCGACACCCTGCTCCGGGGAAGGCCTGGCTCTGCCTTCCCAGCCTGACCATCCACTCAGACACACCAGTTCTCCCTGGAGCTACGCTGACCCTTGCGAAGCTGACCACAGGGACACCGCCTCCTGGGTGGTCTCTCTTGTTTGGATGATAGTAAACTTGAGACGAGAGACGCCTCACAAAAACAACACCAACAGTAACAGCAGCTAGCTAGAAACTACTGAGCACTTGCAGGGACCATGCAAGTAACGCACAACGTGCTCCACACATGCCGTGCCATTTGCATCCTCAAAACCCTGAAAGGTAGCGATTGTTATTATCCCCGTTTTATAGATGGGGATACGGAGGCTCCGCCGGGTCAAATAACCGCCAACCGTCACTTTGCCACTGAAGTGGTAGAACCGAGAAACAAACCAAGTCTGTTTGACCGCAGAGCCCCACTTCCTACGGACCATGCCAAGCCCCTCGTGCATCATCTTGGGGGGGCAGCCGGCCCTGTGCTCTCCGCCGCCCCTCCGCTGTCGAGGTTTTCTTCATCCGCAGAGTCCGAGCTGAGAGTGCAGTGTGAGGGCTCTGTGCCCTTTCTCTCGTGGTCTGCCCTGGCATCACCACTTCATCCACCTGTAGCCGGGGGTGGTGATGGGCCAGGGCCAATGCATGTCTCCTGACCTGACGGCCCCTGAGTGGTCCTCACGTGTCTGTCGGCATATTCCAAGCCGGCACTTTGTGCTTTTAGATACCAGACAGGAGCCATATTTGCGGCCTTGGCCTTCACCCTGGTTTTGCATCCAGGTGTACCTGCATGTGGTTGCGTGTGCTAACGGTGAATTCACTGGTGCAAGCGGAGGAACCTCTGTAGTGATCCCTGTCACTTGGTAAAGCAGATGCGTAGAAGCTGTGCCTCTCCAGGGACTGGTCCCCAAATAAGCCTCTCCCCTGGCTGGGAGAGTGTCTTCCTCCCCTTCCCACCAGACTCCGCGAATCTCTGCCCATCACTTCCCTTCCTCGCTCCCCTTTATTGCCGCCACCCCCTTTCTGTGGCCTGTCCACAGCTGACAGTCATTCGGGCTTGGCTGAATCCTGCCTCCTCCGGGAGTCTTGGACTGCTCCCTCCTTCCTCTGCCCACCAGCATTCCCCAGTCTCGTCCCTGACATTTCCACTGTGTCCCGTGGCAACACAAGAATAACCTCCTTCGCATGCCTCTCCTTCTCCCTACCATACCGTGTGTGGGAATGCTTCTCTTTCTCCCGATTTCTCCTAAAGCGGGAAGCCTGGAAATGGAGAGAGTAACTGAGGAATTGGGGGGAATGGGACAGGTGACTGACTCCTTTATTCCAGATGCTTGACTTCTAGACTTTTCCATGTCATTCTAGTGCCTCAATCTGAGGTCACCAAATGGTACACATTAGAATGCAAAGGCCATGCTGATTGACTGGTAGCAACCCAGGGCCCCCTCCAGCCCTCCAGCCCTCTCTGAGACCAGGCCCAACGAAACCAGCATGAGCACCCTCCCCAGAACCTGGCGCCTTTTCGTTCTCACAATCAAGAAGTCACATTGGCCCCTCAAGTCTCAAAAACTCAAGTACGACATGTTGTGGAATATGGAGATGTCCTCAGGCCAGGTTTGCAGAGAGAGGAGAGACGCTGGCTGGGCCCCAGTCAGTGGGTCTCTAAACACTGGGACAGACTGGCCCTAGCAAGGTCCTCAAAACAGAGATGAGAAAATGTGCCCCCTACTCTGACTTACTGGCCCGTCACACGGCCTAATGAAAGCTGATGGTTTTTGTTATTGCTGCACTATCAAGTGAATGACTGATACAAACTACTCTTCTTATCACCTGCTATCACTCCACTTGAAAAGTAAGGTTGACGGAGGCTAAGAAGAGGAACCATTCTCTATCCCCACCCCCTTTCTCAAAACATTTCTACCCACAGGGGACACTACTTGGACAACTTTGCAATTTGGCTAATTCCCTCAAAGTTTCTAATTCCACAAATATAAGTAGCATTTGCAATTTCCAAGAAAACGTGGTTTCTAAAGTGAAGAAATGTCTAGAAGCTGATTCCCGGAGACAAGTGGCAGGACCTTCCTGGAAAGAGCTCAGGCCAATGGGCCCCTGAGAAAGGAGTAGAAACATTTTCTCACATCACATGACAGTGACAAACACAGCTTCATGTGCAGAGTGCAGGGTTCGCTGAGAAAGACCAAGACGGGAAGGCTCGGAGCTACTTCTGAGCTCTTAAAAGAGAGAGGGAGGTGTTTGCGATCAGAGTTCTAAAGGGGGCAGTGGGCCCCTGGGCGCAAAGAAAAAGGTGATGTTTATCAAACACCCAATGAAATACCCCTGTTTAGTGCAAATATGAGAAAATGATAGCATGTATTTATTTCAGGTGATACCTACAGATGTTTTATATTATTCTCTGTACTTGCCTATAATTTCAAATTTTTTATAGTTAAAAAAGTGCACTTTTGAAAATAAAAGTTGAAAAATCAAGGTTCCCATTAATACAATGGGATACTGTGCAGCTGATACAAAAACTGATTTCTAATGGAGGAAGATGTCTGTGCTCACAGGCAAGGGTCTCCAGGACACGTGTGGGGTGAGAAAAGCAAATTTCAGAGCAGATGGTTCACCCAGGCCTGTCTGCATGACACGCGTTTCAAATTTGTGCATATACATCCTGCTGTACATATAGGATTAAATCTAGAAGCAGAGACGAGTTCTTCATAGGAAGTAGGATTAGTGTGGCCATTTCCTGCGGTGTGAATGTCAATGATAAGTAGAGCTTCCTTTTATAACCGTAGAAAAACAATAATGACTCTCCTGAAGGCTCCTCGACTCCCTGGGGCAGCATATGGGCCCCACGCCATGCCGGGCCGGCAGGCCCCACAGGCCAGCTTCCACCTGCCCTGTCCTAGTCTGGCCTCTTTCCTGACTTGACCCTAGGATGTCTGAGTGAGGGGCCGTGACAGATGCCAGCCGTGGTGGCGATGACAAGCCCCAAGCCACATTTGTTCCATTACTTCCAGCCCCTCATTGCCTTTCCCGTCTGTGGGTGAGAGCTCCTCTCCCTTATCTGCGCGGAGCAGGAGTCAAAAGTTCTCGGCAGCGCGATTGCAGAAGGCCGGGCTGGCAACTTCCAGATAAACCCGAATTCCTTTGGAAGAGCTGGCCCGGACTTGGGTCAGATGGGCAACGTGGCCCCGGCGCATTCCACACTGTGCAGCTGGATAGTAAACCAGATGAAACTGAGCAATTCGGGGACATGCGGGACATGTGAGGGTGTCGCTATAGTGCCGTCTGGTCTGATAGACCCTCTTCCCAAGCTAATGTACCTGTGCCCCGCAGAGACGTGTGGGCAGCGGAGGAGGCAGCTCTGCCTGTGTGAGCCCGTGAGATTTTCCAAAATAGGCCCAGAGATATGAGGAGTCAAAAGAAAATCCAAATAATAAACAAGGAAGGATCACCCCGACTTTTCCGAGACACATTTATGCTTCTGTAAATGGATACGCACTAGTGGGGTGGGCCACCCCAGGACATTAGCTAATTCTGACATTTGGACTTTAAACTCAGTAGCTTATTCTAGCTCGTCCTGTTAGGAAGTTTGCTAAACATCTGTGCTGTGTTGTGCGTTACATTTGAAGAGGATGCAGATGGCACGCTGTCGTCTCAGTCATGTCTCTCATTTTGAGACAGGGAGGTGGCATTCTCCCTGCTCGCTCCAGTGGCCTCCTGCTGCATCTGGTGGGGGGTTGCTTTTCTTTCCTTCAGCACCCCCCTAATTCGATTTCAAAAGATATGGGTTCCCACAGAAAATGTTCAGAAATGGACAAACCTGAAAATAAGGTTTAACCAATAATGCAAGTCATTCTTCCCTGCCAAACACATTGCTTTTATAAACACAAGTTCCCAACTGAGTCAATAGATGGAAATGAAACCATGTAGAAAGTACCTTCACCATTACCTTGAACTGCACACAGTCCTGAAGGGGTGACGCTAGTCCTAATGGGGTGACACACTGAGCAGGTGCAGCAAGCCCTGTGACGTGCCCACGCCTCTGACCAGTGTTGGGTTTCCCTGCCCCAGGGAACCAGGTGAACTTCTCCAAATCCGCAGATGCCTTTGCCTTCGACGAGGACAGCAGCAGTGACGGGCTTTCTCCAGACCACACTCGAAGCGAAGACCCCCAGGGCCCAACGGCATCCCCCCGAGACACCAAAGCTACGGAGATCCCTTTGGCAGGTCCTCCGGGGACAATCCAGGTAACAAACTGCTTCTCAGCCTGTCGTCTCTTCATAGTCCGGAAATAACACTGCCAGGTGGGTCCCCTCCGAGGTCCAGAGACACGTCTGCATGGCGTGTCACCCTCGGGTCCAGCGCTCTGTGTGGTGGTGAAACCTCCAGAACACCTGGAGGAGAACCCGAGGTCTGTACCCTGGGACGTGCTTTTAAAGCATCTGCTCTGCCAAGTAGATACCTTTTATCCCTATTTTCACAAAGTAAAAATGAGGTTCTCTGCCATTAGATGACCCACCACAGTCGCAGGGACAGAATGTGCCAGAGCAGGGCTGCTTTCAACGTCGCCCTTCCATGCACTGAGCAGCCACGAGGCGGCGCTGCGGTTACAAAGCAGAGCGGCATGTTGGTTTTACCTGAGCAGGTTTCTACCTGCAGAACCGCTGCAAGGCCACTTCCAGCCCCAAACCAAGCACAGCACTCGCCTCTGGACAAATCCACAAGCTCTTAACATGAGGAGAATGTATATTGCAAATACTGCTCAAAGCACATTTATAAAGAACAATGATGATTATTAACAACAGCCACTGCATTCCATTAAGCACTCACTGCGCCAGGGCCACTCCAGCCACTTCCTGAGCGTAGCCTGTTAGGGAGCACCGCCCCCCAGGCAGGAGCACTGATGCTGCTCCCACAGGGGAGGAGCTGAGGCTCTGGGGCTGAGCAGTGTGTGGTCTCCAGGACACTGCAACCCTCCAGCCCCTCAGCTGCCACCCCTAGAAGCCATCAGGCCTAGTGGGATTTTCCTCAGCCCGCCCAGCACCCCTACATGTACACATGCACACAAATACACATAAACACACAGATGTATCCACACAAACACACACACCAAGTGCACATATGCATACAGACAACCACAGACACATACACACATGTACATTAAATATACATTCACAGAACACATCCACATAGATACATACCCAAGCATATACACACATATACCTATGTGTACACTAAGTATACACAGAGACACATACAGCTATACCCAGAACACATACACATATGCACACATACACACAGATATAAATATACACACATATACGTACATGCACGCACACTTTTCCTCCATCTGCTAACACCCTGTCATCTCATTTATGTCCTGCCTCTCCCACAGTTGCTACACCCAATCCTCTCTCTCCCTTTTTCAACCCCATTATCAAGCCCAACAGGTGGACCTTGTCACAGGCAGGAGGAACCCGCACTCAGGGTGACCAGATATCCCAGTTTGCCAAGACTAGGCTGGTTCTATACCTGTCTTGTGGAATAATTCTTAATAATGACCCTTTTCTCTCCTCAGAATATCCTCAATTGGTTGGCAATATACATATATTCTTCTCCTGGAGAAAGTAGTCTTACGTGTACTTGGACATAAAGCTAGGATTAAAACAGCAGAGCTAGCCCTGACTGGGCGGCCCAGTTAGTTGGAGCATTGTTCTGTACACCAAAAGGTTGTGGGTTTGATTCCCAGTCAAGGCACATACCTAGGTTGGGTACAGGAGGCAACTGATTGATGTTTCTCTTACATAGATGTTTCTCTCTATCTCTCTTTCCCTTCCTTTCTTTCTAAAATCAATAAAAACATATCCTCAGGTGAGGATTGAAAAAACACACAGCAGAGCTATGTGTGTGTTTATGTGGGGCGAGGCGGGGGGTGGGGGGTGGGGGGGACGGACAGGGGACAGGTCTCTACTTTAACACGTCTATGTCACAGTTTTGACCCTTACATCCTAGTAATGCTACAATTTGGATTTCAGGATCTAACTTCTGGCTCAGAAAATGACATGAATGACTCGGTCTCACAGCCCAGCAACCAGTCAGACACAGGGAAGCAGGGGCTCGGCACCCTCAGCACCACCAACCCCGGGCATGCTGCTGTGAAGGTAGGATGGGCCCGCCTCCACGCAACCCCCTGACTTCTGGCTCACAGAGCAGCGCTGAGCAGAGCTTTCTGAGCTAGGTCTGGGAAGAGGAGAGCCATGCAGACCCTGTTATAGGTTTAGTCCGCTAGGCACATGCATGACAGCTGTGAGCTGTGGAGCCATCAGGGTACATGGACCAAGATCCAGCTTTCTACGCAAGCACAGCGTGGGGCTTCCCTGCAGGGGAATCCTATGCGTTTGCATTTCTTTGGCCTCAGCGCCCACTAGTTTGTTCCTGACTTAAAAGACTTCCTAAGTTCATCCTAGAGGTAGACGCAGCTGGTGGTAACACACACAGAATTTGTAAGCGCCATCAAATGAGCAGAGGGGCGTTGAACTTCATGCAAGGGAAGCCGACCTGAAGGCCTTGCACGAGTAAGACCTCCCTCGGTCCAGCCAGGCTCCCTATGGAAGTGCAGGTAAAGGGGCGATGTTCTTCATGGTAGACAAAGAACTACAAGCATTTAGCATATCGTTGGTTTCAGTTCTCAGCGTTGTATCTCATCGTTCCCAGAGTGCGCTCTCCTCCTTAGCTACCTGGGAGTCATTTAGCCTTCCTAGCAGTTTATCCCATGCAACTCCTAATTGCTTTGGGAGCATGTCTCTCACCTCTGCGACCGCCACTTAACGAATATTGAAATGACTCTTAGGAACTATTTTACTAGTGGTTGTAGACCAAGTTAGAATCCATGTTAAAGTAACAGCCCGTGGCCCCCACCCCTGCGTACACAGAAGTGGACGGCAGGCATTTCAGCTGCCCAGCACTTAAACCTCGCTTCCAATTCACTCAGCTCAACAGCTTTGCAGTCATGTGACTGCTGCTGAAGTGTGTTCACCGCAGGTGGAAGGAGGAAATGATTCACATTATTTCCAAAGTTGTGTACAAAGAAATTGTATGAACATTTCCACCAAAGTATTTTAAATTCCATAGTTCAAATTAGCAAAGCTTCAGGCCTGTGCACTCTGAGAAGGTTGCCCTGAGGGAGGACGGGTCCATTTCAATAAAGAGCAGGACTGAGAGCCAGCAGATCAGGCAGCACTGCACCTGTGGTTTACATAAGAGCCCACATCCCTTCTGACTGGTCAATGCCTGTGACTTCTCCTTGTTGAATATTCATCATCTCTAAATTAAGAGGATCCTAGAGGGCTTCTCAAAGAAGGAGGCAACCCCGCTGGGAACCCCCTCTGCCCTGCTGACTGTGAAAGGCTCCTGGGAGGCCAATGTGAATGCACAGCACTGCTCTGAAGTGGAAAGTCTCCTATGGAGAGGAAGGTGTTTTCCACGCAGGCCCTGGGGGCGCAGTCACAGGGTTCCTGCTCTCCAGGAGCCTGTTGGGTATCACAGCACCACTAACACAGTGCTTTGAGCAAGTAAGGAAAATGTGCCCCTAAGAACTTGACCAGACATTTCTCCAAAGATAAGGAAATTGCCAATAATCACATTAAAGGCGTTACATGTCATTAGTCATCAGAAAAATGCAAACCAAAACCACAACAAAATACTGCAGCATGCCCACCAGAATGCTATAGTAAAAACGGAAAAAAAGCAACTGCTGGTGAGGATGTAGAGACTGGTACTCTCATATGTTGCCAGTGGAAAATTACATTTATATAATGTAAAATGGTTTCCACCCACTATGGAAAGCAGTGGTGGCCCCTCAATAAGTTAAGGGTTGAGTTATTGTGTGACCCAGTAATTCCACTGCTAGGTATTTGCCCAAGAGAACTGAAAGTAGGTGTTCAAACAAAAACTTGTACACGAATATTCATAGCACACTCCTCACAATAGCGAAAAGTTAAAACTAACCCAAAGGTCCATCAGCTGAAGAATGGACAAGCATGTGGCATATCCACACAATGGAATATTATTCAGCCATCAAGAGAAATGAGTGCTGATACATGGTACACCATGAATGAACCTTGAAAGTGTTATTCTGAGTGAAAAAGCCCAACACAAAAGACTACATATTGTATGATTTCATTTCTATGAAACATCCTGAATAGCCAAAGCCATAGAGACAGACAGCAGAAGTGGCTCCCGGGGGCTGCAGGAAGGAGGGAGGGGTGGGAGTGATGCTCAGTGGTATGTATGGCTTTCTTTGGGGGCAATGAAAATGTTCTGGAGCTAGATAGTGATGACACACACAACATTGTGAATGTATTAAGTGCCACTGAATTGTGTATTTTCAAATGGTGACTTTGGTGATTTTGTGTTACTTGTATTTTATCACAATACTAGAGGCCCCGGTGGGGTCCCTTGGCCTGGTCTGTGCCCTCTTGCAATCCGGGACCCCTCGGAAGACATCAGATAGCCAGTTTTGGCTCCATCCCTGCAGGCCCAATCCAGACAGGAGGGAGCCCGATCCTGTGTGTTGAGTGTCCCCTGGTGGTCAGTGCGCGTCATAGCGACCGGTCAACTGGTTGTTTGGTCGTTTGGTCGCTTAGGCTTTTATATATATAGATAAGCAGAGGTTCCCCTTCCCCAGGAAGCCACAGTCCCGCCTCAGGACCAGCAACCTCTGAAGCAGACTGAGGGCTGGATTTCAGTCCCCTCCCCTCAGCAGGGGTGTGGCCATGCCATATGAAACTCACAGATAGGAGACATGGCTGTGAGTTAGGAAAAGCTTCCCCAGTGAGTTAAGGTTTGGGCTGGACTCAGAGGATGAACTGGAGTCATACAGCAAGTGGAGGAGAGAGTTCCAAAACAGCAGAAAATTACAAGGAAAAGAGGCAGGTGAGCTGCTGCAGAGGGCAGGTCTAGGCAGGTTGGCACCAGCCTGCTGTGGCTGCCGAGTTTGACTTCATCTCGCAGGCAGGGGCTGCTGTGTTGTGTGGCAGCCCCACTGTGTGCGTGCAGGTTGAGTGAGGAAGCTCCAGGCCACAGGGTACACTGTTCCCTATCGCATTGCACTCACCTGCCTTACACCTTCGCGCCTGGGTCTTAAGCCCCTGGACCTTGGATGCACCACTGCCTTAGGTTGTTCTCCCCTTAGGTTGGCCATGCAGTTCTGGGTAGGAAACAGCAAAACAAACCCACAGCTGTAATAGCCCCTGGCCTCAGAAAGAGTGTGAAACGGCACAGGTCCATGAATTCAGAGCTCCATGTGCTCAGTAGTCTTTGCCCTCACTGTGCAGTGGCTCAGTGAGAAAATGGCTCGGTTTTAGAACCTTCTGGATGGCCCAGACCCTGTGCTAAGTAAGGCAACTTGGAGAGAAAATCCTTAGCAAGACTCAGGGCTGAAGCTCCCGGGACAAGGCAAGTCTCAGTTGAGGTGGGAACAGAAGCTGCCAAGCAGCGCAGAGCTGACCGCGGGGCCCGGAGAAGTCCTCCAAGTGTGAGACTGATTCATTAACTGGAATGCTAATCAATTAACGAGCAGGGAAGGACGCGTGCTCATTATTCATTAGTCTCCCAGATGCCTCCTTGAAAAAACAGAGGCTTCGGTGGTGGGATGCGCTGGTCAAAGGAAGGCAAGTGGGCAGCTCCCCTGGGTAGGTCACCTTCAGATGTGTGTTTTGTGGTTAAAGTGGTGATGCTGCCCTTCAGAACAGGCCTGCCAGCTATGCAGGAGCCCCCTCTTCTGGGCACTGCTGGTACCACACGTTCCCTCCACCTTTTCCCCAAATTCTCAAGAATCTTCCGTCATGATATCCATGTTCTTCACTTCAACCTTCTGGAAAAAGTCAAGGTTTGAAATTTATATTTTTCAACTGATCACAGTATGAACCTATTGCTTCCTGGAGGCCTTTGATTTTAGATTATAGATCTAATCACACTGCCCTCTAGCCCTGTTGTTACTTCAGTATTGTCTTTCATCACCCTTACATTGGTCACTGAAACAGGAAATAGAGGCTATTTTCCCCAACTTGGAGGTGAGGTAACTAAGATGTAGTAAGGTACTTGTACCACCTTCAGAAATTTCTCTTCACTCCCTAGCCTGTATGCTTAACTTCTCTTTATGTGTCCAAATCACGCTCTATAAAGGGTAACTTCTGGGGGGTCCCAGGGCGTGGCTAACCCTCCCCATAGTAAGTACAGTATTCCGAGGGTACCACTTCCTGATTTTATATCAGGATTAGGGATGGTGGTGGGAGGGACAGTCTATATTACTTTTCAGCCTGAAGCAGCAAAACTTCACATTCTGGATTTTCAAAGTCAAGGTTAATTTCATCTTACATGTATGGCATTACTACGTGAATTTGCTAGGTGCTTAACCAGCAGTGATTCCACATATACATAGGAGAGTACTTTCCTATGAATCAGCCCCAAGATCAGAATGTGTTAGACGGCAGTTGGTCTGAGATGAGGAAAGTGTTCTCACTCTACTGTGGGAGGGAAAAGCTCCAGGAGCCACTTCTAAGGTTCAAGATTCCCACCTGAGGGGTGTGCTTCCAGTCCATTAGACATCTCCGTGTCCCAGGGTCTCTTTGCACATCGTGCTTTGCTGTCTGTATGTCCGAGATTCGAGAACATCTATTGGACAGAACCTCCTCACGTGTTCCCATGACACCGGTCATTCTCTCCATCACCTAAAGCTATGTTCGTCTCCATCCTCTTGCAGTCCAAGTCCTTGAGCGACAGTAAGAACCGCCACAAGAAGCCCAAGGACCCCAAGCCAAAGGTGAAGAAGCTCAAGTACCACCAGTACATCCCCCCGGACCAGAAGGCGGAGAAGTCGCCGCCGCCCATGGACTCGGCCTATGCGCGGCTGTTACAGCAGCAGCAGCTGTTCCTGCAGCTGCAGATCCTCAGCCAGCAGCAGCAGCAGCGCTTCGGCTACACCAGCATCCACCCCACTCAGCTCAAGTGAGTCCCAGAGCCCGGGCTGCGCACAGGGTGGGTGGCTCCTCTCTGCCCGGGCACGGGGCCAGCACCCGCAGCCAAGGCCCATGCTGCATCGTGCCTCACCTGTTATGTTTGGAAACTGGGCACGCCTTTTCAGGAACATAGGCCGGGAGGGAGCAAGGACATCAATGCCCCTGATAAGAGGCCTCCCTGGGAAAAGGGTGGTGTGACCACTGTGAGACTGCAAGTGGAACAGAGAGGTTTCTCTGCAGTTGGGGTGGGCGTTCAGCTGTCTCCCTGTTTGGCCTTGGATGACGCTGGCCATTATGCTGAGTACAGCCAAGCTCCACAGGCTTGCTTCTGTTCCCCAGGACTGCATCAGCTAAATCGCACATGGATATGCCCCACCCATATGCCAAAGTCTCCACCATTCCCTCCGGTCTCCCCCAGACTCAGCCTGAGTGTCACTTGCCACTTGCCAGCTAGCCTGCTGTGGTTTTCCTCACCCTGCCTGATCCTTGTAGACAATTAACTTGTGATCTCATCTAAATAGAAGTCACCCCCTAAGGGTTCTGGTCACCCAATTCTAGTACGTGGGGGATGTTTTCCCCACATCACCCAACACCAGCAGGGTGTCCAACAATTCCCATTCATTCTGACACTAGCTACCTGGAAATAGCATCAGATTCCACAGGTAAGGGCTCAGCCCCCAAGACTGGTGCTCTCACCTTCTTAAGATGCCAGAAATTGTCCAGAAGTTGTTACATGGGCTTCTGGTCAACCAACCATAGATCCGAGATTCCCACAACCTACTCCTTGGGTTTGATTAATATGCTAGAGCAGCTCATGGAACTCAGAGAAACATTTTACTTACTCGATCACTGGTTTATTATGAAAGAATACAACTGAGGAACAGCCAGATGGAAGAGATGCATAGGGCAAGGTGTGGGGAGGGGCATAGAGCTTCCAAACCCTCTCCAAGCCGGCTATTCTGCCAGTACCTCCACATTGTCACCAACCCAGAAACATTCTGGCCCCCAACCTTTTGGGTTTTTACGGAAGCTTCATGGCAAAGCCAGGGCTGATTACATCATTGGCCATTAGTGAATTCACTCTCCATTCCCTCACCCTGCCTGGAGGTCAGGGAATGAGAAGGTGGTGGGACCAAAAGTTTCTACCCTCTAATCACAGGATGAATTCTCCTGGCAGCCAGCATCCCTCCTTAGAGTCCAAAAGCCACCTCATTAACATAACAAGAGACACCTCTGTGACTCTCCTCACTTGGGAAATCCCAAGCGTTTTAGCCATGAGCCAGAAATTGTATGAACACCAAATATATATTTATTATATATCACAATATATAGACCTGACTGTATTTCAAGTCCCTCTTTTTTGTTTGTTTTCAGGGAACCAAATGAGCAGATGGTCAGAAATCCAAACTCTTCTTCAACACCACTGAGCAGTACCCCTTTGTCTCCTGTCAAAAACAGCTTTTCTGGACAAACCGGTGTCTCTTCTCTCAAGCCAGGCCCACTTCCATCAAACCTGGATGATCTGAAGGTATCTGAAGGGCATGATTTTCTTTTCTTTTTTTAAACAAATACATCAGTGCATTTAAAATAACATTTTCACCAACTGATTTCTTGTATAGAACATGATGAAGAAGAATATGGGAGAGACTCAGTAGGTGACAGAGTATTAACTGCTATGGTTAAATACCCAACCTTGACTGGCTATGCAACCTTGGGTTAGTTTCTTAATTTTTAGCACCTCAAATTCCTCATTTGCATAAATGGTTTATCCTGAAAATCCAATGGAATCGTATATACATGATAGAACGTAGCACAAAGAGTAGCTATGGGATTGATATGAGCTCTGAGCCAGTGGTCAATTCCATGATGATCTCTTACCAATCTCTGGTAAAATGAGGAAAATAAAAACCATATAAAGGGCTTTTCATAAATCTATGCATGTTCAACAGATCTGACTAATATTTATTCAAAGTACTTATTTTCTCCAAATGTTTTGAATGCTGAAAGATACTTTCCAGTAGGAAATGATGGTAGTAGATGAAAGCTGAGTGTTTCTGAGAAAGTTTTGTTTCTTTTTATTAAAAGAAATATCTATATATATAAAAGCCTAAGTAACTGAATGACCAGTTGACGGGTCACTATGGCATGCACTGACCACCAGGGGACAGATGCTCAATGCACAGGATCGGGCTCCCTCCTGTCTGGATCGGGCCTGTGGGGATCAGGCCTGAGGGGATCAGGCTGAAACTGGATTGCGAGAGGGTGCAGGCCACGCCAAGGGACCCTAGAAGCGAGAGGGCTTCTAGTTATTAAATAAGGATACTAATCCTTATTTAACAAGATAAAATGGTGGTAACTCTATGTCTATTATATAATTTAAAGCAATGTACTAGTCTATGAAATCCAGTCAGAGACCTTCTGAAATGTAGCAGCAATTCGTGACATGATATGTATGTGCTAGCAGTTTGCTCTGGTCACTGACCACAGACCCTCAGTTACTGAGATGCCCCTGAGCTTTGAGCTGAGCCTGGTGTGGTTCAGAGGAACCCTCAGCACGGCACATGCATTCACCCGGGATTCACACAGAACTGAAAAGGGTGAGTGCAGTGCCTTGCTGCTCTGCTGTGCCAGCACACCTGCTGTCTGCAGCACCTCCTCACTCTCAATGATGACACCTGTTTACCCACAAAGGATCTTACTTAGCATGGTTCCCAAAAGACTAAATTCATAAAAGTCCCCTAGTCTTCACTGGGCCAGTGCCACAGCCCTGTCTCAGTCCTCATTGCCACCCTCATTCCCATGTTCAGTACTTGGTCATTATCTTCTTTGAGGCGAGATAGGATTGGGATTATTTCAAATTAAAGGAAATTCCATGGCTGCCCCAAGTGCCAACACCAGTAAATAATGTGTATCTTGAGTCCTACTATCAAAGGTTCTCTATTCCTCCCACTTGGAATACAAGTGCTCAGGTTTGGACTTGGCATCCATAAACCTAGATGGGGATGCCAAGCGCATGACAATGCTCTCCGGAGCCGTAGGGTACCACCTTCCACTCCCCAGATCATAAACCCATCGAGATCAAAGCAGGCTTCCTCACCTGGGAAACATTACACCGTGAAATAAGCCAGACACAGAGACAAATATTGTATGAGTCCACGTATATGAGGTACCTCACGTAGTCAACTTCATAGAGACAGCAAGTAGATGCGGGTTACTGGGGGCTGGAGCAGGTGAGAATGGGGAGTTAGGGTTTCACTGGGACAGAGGTTCAATTGGAGATCCCGGAAAGGTTCTGGAGATGATCCTGCTGATATTTGCACAACATTGTCGATGTACTGGTGCCACTGAGAAGTGACTGAATAGTGAGTTTTATATTACATGTTTTCTACCACAATAACAAAGATTCCTTTTGAAAGGAGTCTCGCACTGGATGGGAGCCTGGTCAGGTAGGACTAGAGATGCCTGGGCCAGAGAAAGATGGTCCATACATGACGTGCCAGCCCTCGGGGCCCCCAAGCTCTGTTCTCAGGGTCACCGGCTGGTCACAGTCCCAGTAATTAGCACAGGCATTAGGAGATGATGGCGATGACAGTGGCGACTAGCATTTTTTAATATAAGCTGTCAGTCAGCCATGCTACGTAGATTTGCTTTAAATTTTACCCCACGACATACATTTTAAATGGGAATGTAAAAATCAAAATCTTGAAGAGATTAAATAATGGATGACAAAACTGGGATCTGAACTTAAGGGACTGATTTCAAAGGCTTTGCCACTTCAGATGAGCATGGAAAGAAAGGAAGGGACAGACAGAAGACTGGACTTGACCATGGGGTGTGGGAGAGAGGAGAGAAAGAAAACTTAACTGGGTGAATGGGAGAATTTGCACAGGTGGCAAACTGGGAAGTTAGTTTGGGGAGGTGATATGAGGGGACATGGGCAAGTTTATTCAGTCTGGGAAAGCTGAGTCTCCGGTACCGGCAGTTTCTGTTAGAAATATACCAAGTTGGTTGGGTTCAGCTGTGTTGTTGGGCATAGGGACAGAAATTTGGGGATTGTTTTCATAGTGGGGAGGGTTGAAACTGGAAGAGTGGATGAGATAGAAGGAGAGCAAAATGGAAAGAGTGGCGAGGAGAATGGAACAGGGAGAAAGGAAGGAGAGAAGAGGAATAAGGGAAGCAAATGATATAATCACACTTTGGGAAAGGAAGAAATAAGAGGAATTCATGAAGGTGACCCTCCAAAAAAGTAATCAGAACCTGGCCAGTGTAGCTCAGTTGGCTGAGTGTTGTCCTGTGCACCAAAAGGTCACTGGTTTGATTCACGGTCAGGGCACTTACCTAGGTTGCAGGTTTGATGCCCAGTCGGGGGCATACTGGAGGCAACCAATTGATGTTTCTCTCTCACATTGATGTTTCTTTCTCTCTCTTTCCCTCTCCCTATCTCTCCTCTCTAAAACCAATACCAACATTTTTTTTAAAATAACCAGAAAAGGTAAGGCAATGAGGTGATATTTTCCATAAATGCTCATGTTTTGCTACATAGAAATTAAGGGGGAAAGTGCAGAGAATAGAGTTTAGTTTCTCATTAAAAACTTACAAGAGGTAATATCACAGTCCATTTTTTGTGTTTGTTTTGTATCCAGTTTCTAACAAACTAGTGGGAGAGAGAGAGAGAATAAGAATGTGAAGGTGAATGGGAAATTTAAAAACTGGGGCAATATTTGATAGAGACTAAGAAATAATGGTTCATATTTTTTAGATGTGATAATGGTATTGTATCTGTGTTTTTTTTAAGTACTTATCTTTAGAGATAGATACCAAATTCTTACAGATTAAATTATATGATTTCCTGCAACATAATTCAGAAAACATAGGGGAAGAAGTGGTTTGGGTATAAATGAAACAAGATTGGGCATGAGTTGATAATTATTGAAAGTGGTTGATGGTTATATGGGGTTCATTATACTTTTCTATTACTTTCATGTATGTTTGAAATTTTCCATAATAAATGGTTTACGTTATCAATGATTGAAACACCAATCAATGCAGGAAGGAGGTGTATACAAAACTTTGTTCCAAGCAAGCCCACACAGCATAATATTCTGAAATGTAAGGTAAACTGAACTCACCCAGCATCCAGTTCACTTTAGAATATGAGCTACATTATTTGATAATGTACTTTAAATTATTCAGTGTCAGAACAGATTCCAAAAATAAATGCAGAACTCATTAATTGTAAGTAATTCAAAATTAAAACAATGAGTTGGCACTTTGCACTTTTTCCAACAAGCAAATCTAAAAGAAAATAATAAAAGCAATGCTAGCAAGACTGGGGGTGGGGGGGAGCATATGTATTGCTTGGGGCAGTGTAAATTGTCTTAATCCTTTTAAAATACCTTTTAGCTGAGTGTAAAATAATATTATTCACTAGTGAAATAAATTTGTGTATAGAGAAGTAAAGAGTATTTTAAAAGGCAGTTGACTCACATAACAGATTCTATTTCCTTCTAGTCTTGAAATGCATATGGACATATTTTGCTTTAAAATAACTATGTGAGCATAAATTTCTGACATGCATTTTTGTTTAACATATGAACATTTTTATAACTCTTAATGGTCAAAAATCCTTTCATTTTTAATAGCAGTATATTATTTCACCACCTAGTTAAGATTCCTCTGTTAAACATTTAACTTGCTTCCAAATGTTTACTGTTAAAAATATAACTTGTACATACACTTATTAATTTACCTAAATATCTCCCCAGGCTAAATACATAGGAATGGAATTTCTGAACCAAAACATATTACCATTTTTAGAAGTTCTTGCTACATATTGCCCACTTTCTGTCCTGAACAACTGTGCCTCGCTAGTCCCAGAAGCAGTGTTAGCACTTCTCAGACATGGGTGTGCACACGAGTCATGGGGGCTCTGGGTAAAACGCAGCTTTCGATTCAGTAGGTCTGGGAGGGGCCTGAGATTTTGAATTTCTAACATGTTCCCCAATGCTGCAAGTGCTGCTGGTCCACAGACCACACTCAGAATAGCTGAATATCTATAATAGTAAAAGCGTATTATGCTAATTAGACCGAACAGCCAAACAACCTTCAGGACGTCCTTCTAGACATCCTTCCGGACGACCTTCCCGATGAAGCTGCGGCATTGGGGTCCAAGGCAGAGTGGTTAGGGGCAATCAGGCAGAGTGGTTAGGGGCCATCAGGCAGAGTGGTTAGGGGCCATCAGGCAGGCAGGTGAGTGGTTAGGGGAGACCAGGTAGGCAGGCAGGCAAGTGGTTAGGAGCCAGCGGTCCTGGATTGCGAGAGGGATGTCTGAGAGGTCCCGGATTGGGAGAGAGTGCAGGCTGGGCCGAGGGACACCCCCTCCCATGCACAAATTCCGTGCACCAGGTCTCTATTCTATACTAATAAAAGCATAATATGCTAATTAGACTGGACAGCCAAACGACCTTCTGGACATAACTCTAGACATCCTTACGAACAAATCCACAGTGGTGGGGACCGAGGCGGAGGCAGTTAGGGGTAATCAGGCAAGCAGGTGAGCAGTTAGGGACAATCAGGCAGGCAGGCAGAATGGTTAGGGGTGATCAGGAAGGCAGGCAGGTGAGTGGTTAGGGTTGATCAGGCAGGCAGGCGAGCAGTTAGGAGCGATCAGGTAGGCAGCGAGTGGGTTAGGGGCAATCAGGCAGGCAGATGAGTGGTTAGAGGTGATGAGGCAGGCAGGCAGAGTGGTTAGGGGTGATCAGGCAGGCAGGCAGGTGAGTGGTTAGGGGTGATCAGGCAGGCAGGCAGGTGAGTGGTTAGGAGCCAGTGGTTCTGGATTGTGAGAGGGTGCAGGCCAGGCTAAGGGCCCCCCCCCGCTCCCATGCACGTGCATCGGGCATCTAGTTAAGTATAAAATAGCTTAAAAACAAAATAAACAAACACAAACCAAAAAACATTTTTAGCCTTGGCCAGTGTGGCTCAGTTGGTTGGAGCATCATCCCATACACCAAAAGGTAGTAGGTTCGATTCCTGGTCAGGGCACACACCCAAGTTGTGGGTTCAATCTCCAATCAGGAGGCAACCTATTGATTGCCTCTCATATAATGTCTCTCACCAATTTAAAAATTTTATTCATTTATATTTGCCGCTATTTAAGTAACACAAATTGCTATTGCAAATTTCTTTGTCAATTAGATGAATACAAAAATATGTATATTTTGTTTGCAAATCTTGGACTACTAATGACGGTACGCATACATTATTGGCCATTTAAAAATGTTCTCTTTTGTGAAGAGTTGGATGATGTCCATTGCCCATTTGTATGTTGGGTGTCCATCTTTCTCTTCGGGTTGTTAAACACACTTGGCACATAGAGCATACTAATGCTTTATTATTTTTCCTGCAACTATTTTTTCTTAAAATTCTATTTGCATTTGCATCTTCATTTAGTGACTGATAGGAGTTTTCAAATTTTTTTGGTCAACTTTTTATGATTAGCTTCTTTGGTTTTATGCTCAAAAGGTCTTCCCCTAAAGAATATCAGAAGGATATTTTCGTACATATTCTTCTAGCTGTTTATGGAATTACTGACATTTAGGTATTTAATATGGTTCCTGTTTTACTTATAAAAGTAATATGCTTATGGGAACTACTTAGGAAATGCAGATAAAGAGAACCATCGCTAACATTTTAGCACATCTTTATCCAGATATTATAATCTGCAAGCATAGGCTTAAATATATATTCATATACATTATATATGTGTGTATGTATATATATATATACAGTATATATATATACTGTATATATATGTAATTCTTAGAAAATAGAATGAAGTAATTGAAACCTTTTAAATGTAATACTATACCATAAATAATTATTTTTATATCAACAAATATTTATAGCATCAGTTTTAATAGATCTAAAGTATTCCATCATTTGCATTCATTATTATTTATTTAGTTTCTATTTTTTTAGATATCTGATGGTTAAAATTCATGAACATGAAAAAGTGCAGGGATGAAATAATTATATGTGCGGCAACATAACAATAACAGCCCCTACATGCCTGGCCATGAGCAAAGTACTCTTCCCAGTGCTTTCCACTGTTTAAGGTACCTCAGTCCCCATGAGAGACTATAAAGTGGTAGGATTGTCTCTGTTGTGCCGGAGCGAGCTGGGGCACAGGGTGACCACTGAACTAGGAAGAGCAGGGCCAGCATTTGAATTGGGGGTCTTATTGCCACACCTCTCTCTCTCAGTAGAGCACTGCTATCCGCCAGCTGTTAAACTCAGGACAGGGTGTAATGTACAGCCGCGGTTCTCCAGCACTGGGCCGGGACCAGCGGCATCAGCGTCCCGGGAACTTGTCAGAAAGGCACCTCTCAGCCCCCACCCCTGAGCCACTGAACCCAGAAACTGGTGTAGGGGCCCAGCTACCTGTGTAAGAACCCACAGATCTGGGTTCTAGCACAGCCGTGGGCAAACTATGGCCCGCGGGCCGGATCTGGCCCGTTTGAAATGAATAAAACTAAAAAAAAAAAGACCGTACCCTTTTATGTAATGATGTTTACTTTGAATTTATATTAGTTCACACAAACACTCCATCCATGCTTTTGTTCCGGCCCTCCGGTCCAGTTTAAGAACCCATTGTGGCCCTCGAGTCAAAAAGTTTGCCCACCCCTGCTCTAGCACCTGCTCAGGTTTGAGAATCGCCCACAAGGACGGGTGGGGAGGTGGGAGGCCGCACACTGGAGTGTGAGCATGCTGCAGGATGACTGGTTGCCAGAACTTGGGCAGGTTTCAGTCTTCTCATCTGTAAAATGGGGACAGGACCAGGATGGGATTGGCGGGCAGCACAGAGGTGCCTCTGTCGTTCGTGTGGGCTCTACATTTCCAGGATAGGTCTATGATTCAGGAGCCATGAAAACATGGGATAGGACACATTGTAAGAGCATTAATAAAATTGTGCAAAACTGATGTATATTGGGTGCAGGGGAGGAAGTGAGACGGAAATAATAAAACGAGAAGTGGACACTGTGAGACTGCATTTGTGATCGTTTGAAGTTAATGTAATAATAATACACGTTTAAAACACTGTCATGAACAGCACAGTAACGGGCCCCGCTCTCTTCAGGTGTCGGAGTTAAGACAGCAGCTTCGGCTCCGAGGCCTGCCGGTGTCAGGCACCAAGACGGCGCTCATGGACCGGCTGCGGCCCTTCCAGGACTGCGCGGGGAGCCCCGTGCCCAGCTTCGGGGACATCACCACCGTCACCTTTCCCGTCACGCCCACCGGCGCCCTGCCCCATTACCAGTCCTCCCCGTCCGCCGGCGCCTTGTCCAACGGCTTCTACCACTTCGGCAGCACCAGCTCCAGCCCCCCCATCTCGCCCGCCTCCTCCGACCTGTCGCTGGCCGGGTCCCTGCCCGACACCTTCCAGGACGCGTCGCCCTCCTTCGGCCTGCACCCGTCCCCCGGGCGCCTGGGCCCCGACGACAGCCTGGTGGGCAGCCTGAGCGGCGGCGGCAGCGTCCCTCCCGAGCTGGACGGCCTGGACTCCGAGAAGGACAAGATGCTGGTGGAGAAGCAGAAGGTGATCAACGAGCTCACCTGGAAGCTGCAGCAGGAGCAGCGGCACGTGGAGGAGCTGCGCCTGCAGCTGCAGAAGCAGAAGCGGAGCAAGGGCGCCGCCGAGCAGGAGCCGCCGCCCTTCCTGGGGGCGCCCATCAAGCAGGAGGACGCGGCCTCCAGCTGCCCCTTCGCCGCCCGGCAGGTCTCTGCGCACAGACCCGGCGGCGCGGACGGCGCTGCTGCGCTCCTGCTGCCCCCGGGCGGCAGCCTCGGCCTGGAGCCCGCGGCCCAAGCCCCCGCGCTTCCCTCCACCTTCCTCAGCCCGCAGTGCTCGCCGCAGCACTCGCCGCTCGGGGCCGTGAAAAGCCCGCAGCACATCAGCTTGCCCCCATCGCCGAACAACCATTACTTCCTACCTTCGTCCGCTGGTGCTCAGGGAGAAGGGCACGGGGCCTCCTCACCTGCCAGCACCCAGGTGTGTACTGCACAGGTAAGAGCTCCTTGGCCACGCCCGCTGCACCCCCTTCCTGGAAGCGGGGTGTGGATTTGCAGAGCTAAGAGCTGGTGTTGGAACTTTCCAAGTCCAACAGCACCTCCCGGCCACGAAGATTCTGGGGCCTTCAGAATAGGCGGACTTGCTTCTCTGGGACGGAGGCTGGCACACGGGTTCTGTAAAACGCTGGATCAGAAATATGTTTGGCTTTGGGGGCATTATGGTCTCTGTCACAACTACTCAACTCTCCCCTGTAGCCTGAAAACAGCTGCAGACAACGTATAAACAAGTGCACGTGGCTGCGTTCCAATAAAGCTTTATTTACAAAATCAGGTTTGGCTCCAGGGCTGTACATTGCCAAACTCTGTTTTAGGATTCCTTGGCACCACGCCTCAGCATAGGCCCAACCAATTCATTCCAAGAGCCGAAAGGGAAGTTACCAGACCTTACTGGTCTCTTTGTGGTTGGTCTGCAGAGTGCAAATATTTACTGAGCACTTACTGTGTGCCAGCCCAGACCCTCTTCCAGTCTCCTGGGACTAATGCTGAACTAACCAAAAAAAGAAAAAAAAAATCCCTATTCTCATGGGGAGACAGTAAATTTAAAAAATATATAAAATATATAATGTATTAGAAGATGATACATCTTATAGAGAGAAAGCAGAAAAGGGGGGGTGAGGAGTTTGGAAACTTGCAACCTTAAGTAAAAGGGCCAGGGACATTTGAGCAAAGCTTTCAAGAAGTGAAGGAGAAAGTCTTGTGAATATTTGGGGTGCAGGCATTCTAGACAAAAGAGAAACAGCAAGTGCCAAGGCCCTGAGGAGCGAGTGTGCATGGAATGTTCAAGCATCAGGTGGAAAGCCAGTGTGCCTGGGGTAGAATGAGAGCAGAATTATAGGAGACAGCTCAGAAGAGTAACTGTTTCAAAGGCTAGACCAAGGTGATCATCAAAGACTTTACTTTGTCTATGAAGACAAAGAATTATTAGGAACATCGCTTTAAGTCTATCTGAGAAAAGGTTCCATCAAGCATGTCAAACTCCTGGCTGGCAGGCTGCAAGTTTGACATGCTTGGATCACATGAAAAGATTCTGAGCACTTTGGCGTTAGAAAGGGAGTAGGAAGAAAACTGGCGTTAATTGCACTCCTGCCACGTACATGTACATGTATATGTATATGAGTAATCTTGTTCATTGTCACAACAACCTTTTGGGCTCCGGTTCGTTATTCTTTATTTGCCGCTGGGGAGAGTGTGGCTCCGGGAGGTGAACCTGGGATTATCTGATTCTAAAGCACATTCTCCTTTCACACTGACTGTTCTCTACCCCGGGAGTGTGAGGTGTGGCCATGGGTAAGGAGAAGACATGTTTGCAAACCCAGTGGAGCAATGATACCCACCCATTTGGGAGGAGTTGGGACTTAAATGCATTATCATCATCAATGACAAGATTTATTGAATGCATAGTGTCCTGGGCAACAATGGTAAACACAGCTCTTTTTACATAGCTCTGCACATTCAGTTCTAACGATATCGATACTCTCCAGAAGAACCAACATTTGTACAGTGATTTACAGTTTCCAAAGCACCCTTTGAAGGCATGAGTGATTGCTTGATAAAAAGATATTGAGCAATCTAGAATAACATTACTGACTTGTGTCTATGACATTGCGGTGGGGGTAGGGGTGGCAGATTGATCATGAAGGGCTAGAAAAGTCCAGCAAGGCTTTGAGAAGGGGGTAGACTTAAAAGGAAGTACAGTGGGGCCTTGACTTACGAGTGTCCCGACTAACGAGTTTTTTGAGATACCAGCTGTCTCTCCGCTGATTTTTTGCATTGAGTTGACAGAGTAATTTGAGTTAACGAGCTCCTCAACGAGCTCGGTCTCTGAACAAATTAAACTCGTAAGTCAAGGTCCCACTGTATAGCATTCAAAAAGGAGAGTTTGCAAAAAGGCATTCCATGAGCGGGAAAAAAAAACAATAGGGAGGTAGCATGTACAGGGCATGCTGAGGGGAGCTCATAAAGGGATTAGTGGAACTTAAACTTGCAGAAGGAACTAGTACTTGACTAAAGTCTTGAACACTAATGTTGGGGAGAAGTGGAACCCTATGCTGTTGATCTGTAGGAGCCCCTGAACGTATTGAGCAGTAGGTGATACATAAAAGCCAGAACTGAGACTTTGGTAATGGAATTTACCAGGGCCAGGTGTTAACAAGGGCTGCTCTCAAGAACGCCACTGATGGTCGCTTGACTTGTGCTTCTTTCTTTCTACAGAACTCAGGGGCACACGAGGGCCATCCTGCAAGCTTCTCCCCCCAGCCTTCTGGCCTCCACCCCCCTTTCTCTGGAGCCCAGGCAGACAGCAGTCATGGTGCTATGGGCAATCCTTGTCCCCAAAGCCCAGGTGTACAGCAAAAGGTAGGCATCTGGGAAAAGGTTTAGACTTGGGATTGACTTTGCCTCTTCTTTCTTCTGTGGATCCTTTTCATCCCAATGATGAGGTTCAATGGCAGAAATAAATGACATTTTAGGTAGAAACAGGCCTGAAATGGATGTACTGATACAAGTTAGGAGGCACTTCAAGAAGTCATTTCCCAGCGTTATTCCAGAAGTCATGGTGAATAACATGACCCTGGTATGTTTGTGAGACACCGTGGTGAACAAACCGGTTTCAGTGAAGCTGAAATAGGGGAGTGTGGGACATACTGGTGGAGAAAGTGAAATACATGGATCTGTGGAAAGGATCAGAGGGATCCAGAAAGTTGGGGTCACAGTACAATAGCCCTGCAAAAAAGGGAAGAGATGATGCATTCCAGCAGGTGGAAGAGTCAGGGATGTGAAGGGCCCAGGATGTGGGGAGTCCAAGGGCAGGGGGGAGGTGATAAGGAGCAAGTGTGATGGCCAACACAGAAGTGCTGCGTACCGCCTGCTGGGGCCAGGGCCCTGGAGACGGAGACCCTGGAATGGCCTATCCACAGGACACACTCGGTGCACGAGGCTGGTCTCCAAGAGATTCTCCCAGTCGTGCCTGCAGCTCTCTGCAAAGGCACCAGCCATGAATGGAACAGCTGGGGGATAAGTTACTCTGGAAACTCCTGGGGTGGTGGACTTCTTAGGATTGGACTGTACTCTTTCACTTTATTTCCTTTTCTCATCTTGCTTTCTCCTAACAGAAGAGGGTGCACCTTGGAGTGAGAAATGAATCTGTGAGGTTCCCATTCTAAAATGCCTCCAGCAATAAGTCCATAGTGATATATACTATTGTTAATCTACTCGGTTTGTTTTCCTAGCCCTCACTCTCTTCTTTCCCTTAAGTCTATTTTTCCAAAATTTAGCCCGTAGTTTCCATTACAGAATCAGTACCAGATCTGACACATGAATTGTCTGTTTCTGCATTTGACTCACACAGATGGCTGGTTTGCAGTCTTCTGATAAAGCAGGACCAAAGTTTTCAATTCCATCCCCAACATTTCCTAAGTCAACTTCAACAGTTGCAGAGATAACACAGCCTCCATCCTATGAAGATGCAGTAAAGCAGGTAAGCACATGATTTGTTCTTTATCGAAGAATAGGCTGGCTGAATTGCACTTTGTTTTACATGGGTTCATGCATGTGGATTCTGGTATTGAGTGCATCTGGTACCTCCCACCAGAAAGGACAGTGTCTAGATGCTAACTATAGAAAGGTGCTGATGTGTATGTAAGCTGTGTGAGGCCAAGAGAGAGAAGAGGTTTGTCTGGGTACCCAGATGACTGGGTTTAGTGCCAGCTCGGCCACCAGACAGCTGCACTGCCACTAAGACTGGGCAAGTACTCAACTTCTCTTATATGAAACAGGGCCAATATCTCCTTTGTAATGATTCCAAATGATATAACACTTACCTCTACTGTTCTAATACCAAATGTCCAGGCAGCAGATAGGTCCTCCAATATCTGAGAGCAATGGTCAGTGTGACACTTCCTAGGGTTCTTCCTAGCTTCAAAATTCACTATTCCTGCAAATATATTGATGGTTATGGAGCTGGATAATAACAGAGGTTCATTTGTGTTTGAAATTTTTCAAAAGAAAAGGTACAAAAAGAAAAGCAATTAATGGTCTTATTTTCCAAATGGTTTGAGTTTGGATGAAGTATCAGCTAGCCCTTCATATGTGCTCAATCCAGAAAAGATCTACATCGCTTCCTGCATACTGGATTTCACAGATCCACATCAGCCTACAGTTAGGTTTTACTTGGCTCAGAGAGTTTTTTAAATATGTAGGAGATTTTATGCAAAACTAGGCTTTCTCATTTCGGAAAAATTAGGGGATGTGTCTATACTGAGGCCCCATTTCTTTCAGAAAACAGTCACCTGAGGCACAGTATCCACTGCCTTCTTGAACCATAGCATGGGTTCAACACTCCACCCTTCTCTCCTGTTTCACACTGGGACCATTTGCATTACCTGCCAGATCCTGTAGGCATCTAATGCCTCCTGGCCTGGAGAATGGCTCATTCTTGGAACAGTGCTCCCATTTGTATTGATTATTGACACCTGTGTTTATTGGGACTGGACTCTCAGAGGAGTGAGATCAATAGATGTCTTAGTTCTCCCCATTTCCTTTCCCTGGTATCTGTAAATATCAACCTGGTATCTGTAAATATCACAGTTTTTTTTTAATATATTTTATTGATTTTTTACAGAGAGGAAGGGAGAGAGATAGAGAGTTAGAAACATCGATGAGAGAGAAACATCGATCAGCTGCCTCCTGCACATCTCCCACTGGGGATGTGCCCGCAACCGAGGTACATGCCCTTGACCGGAATCGAACCTGGGACCCTTCAGTCCGCAGGCCGATGCTCTATCCACCGAGCCAAACCAGTTTCGGCAAATATCACAGTTTTGAAAGAAAAGAAAAAGGCCAAGCAAAGTGGATTTCCATTAATAAGACTCTACTTAATGCCGATGAGCCAGAGGGAGGGGTCCAGTCCCTACAAGTGTTGACAAGTTCCACAGACTATTGCAATGAGGAACTAGGAAAATATGAGCCACATTCTTAGGCCATATTCACTTCAAAGTGAGATAAGGGGCCAAAAACCAGTTACACCTATATTTATAGTAGCATTATTCACAAAAGCCAAAAGATGTCCATCAATAGATGAATGGATAAATAAAATGTGGTATATACATACAATGAATATTATTCAGCCTTAATGAGGAGGGAAATTCTGACATGGATGAGCCTTGAAGACATTACGCTAAGTGAAATAAGCCAGTCACAAAAGGAAAAATACTATATATGAATCCACCATAGAAGCTATCTAGAGTAGTCAGATTCATAGGGACAGAAAGTAGAATGGTGGTTGCCAGGGCCAGGGAGGAGAATGGAATGGGGAGTCGTTGATTAATGGGGACAGAGTTTCACTTTTGCAAGATGAGAGCAGTTCTGGAGATGGAAAGTGGTGATCGTTGCACAACAATGTGAATGTACTAAATATCACTGAACTGTACACTTAGGAATGGTTAAGATGATAAATTTTATGTTTTGTGTATTTTACCACAATTAAAAATATAACTAGTCAAACCTAGTTCAAAAAGATGTGGTGCTGCTTCTAATGATTTCCTTCTGACTTCTCTGTCCTCCTTTGGTTAATTCATAATAGCAAATGACTCGCAGTCAGCAGATGGACGAACTCCTGGATGTCCTCATTGAAAGTGGAGGTAAGACTGCCCGTGTTCCGCCCATCAGGATACTCTGCACTTGCATGTACTCTAGGGCCGTGGTCGGAAAACCGTGGCTCGCGAGCCACATGCGGCTCTTTGGGTCCTTCAGTGCAGCTCTTCCACAAAATACCACGTGTGGGCATGCACATACAATGCGACTGAAACTTCGTGGCCCATGCGCAGAGGTTGGTATTTTGTGGAAGAGCCGGTATTTTGTGGAAGAGCCACACTCAAGGGGCCAAAGAGCCACATGTGGCTCGCGAGCCACGGTTTGCCAAGCCGCAGTTTGCCGACCACTGCCTAGGAGATAAACCCAGGTGCTCACTGTAAATGGGACTGAAAAGTCTATGGCAGCGGTTCTCAACCTGTGGGTCGCGACCCCTTTGGGTGTTGAACGACCCTTTCACAGGGGTCGCCTAAGACCATCAGAAGACACATATATAATTACATGTTGCTTTTCTGATTAATCACTATGCTTTAATATGTTCAATTTGTAACAATGAAATTGGGGGTCACCACAACATGAGGAACTGTATTAAAGGGTCGCGGCATGAGGAAGGTTGAGAACCATTGGTCTATGGGTACAGTGGTCACTCCATCCGAGCTTCCTGTCCACTTTGGAGCAGACAAAGGAAGGATTGTGGATGACTGCTCTCCACCATTGTCCCTTTGTCCTTGGAACATTTCCGCCAATCATTTTAACAGTTTTCATGTTCCAACTGTTCCCTAACTTTCCTCGTTTCATACTATTTCTCTCTACCGTTCTAATCCCAATGTCCCTATCTTCACTGTGAGAAGGATGGAGCAGATAAAACAAGTTTTGTGCTACCTACTCAAAATGATATCCAATTATTAATCTCCCATTAGATGGTCCATTCATGCTTGAATGTTTTTCAAGCTAGCAATAAAAATTATCGACATATTCTTTTTGCCCCTTTTAAGTCATGTATTTATTTTTTTAATTATACAATATGTACTTAGAATTTGAAACCATACAAATGAATAAGGTCACATAGGAGAAAGTGTAGATAGAAAGAAAGAAAAAACCCTCAAGTAACAACACTTGAGAAAGAGGGTCCAGGCTCAAGGCTACACTGGACCAAGTCCCCACCTTTGGGAAGTTTGCAGTCTGGTGAGGGAGATTGACAAGCAAGAGAACAGGCAATTCCTCCATTGTAGCAAGAGAGAAGGAAAAGATGAGCAGCAGGTGTGAACGGCAGCTCCAGCAGCGGGCGCGAGTGGGGCTGGCGCCAGCAGCAGGTGCAAGCACCGAGCGTGACCACAGCACATGGGAGCAAAGAATTTTCAGTAACCACCAGAGGCTCACCCCAATGACAGTGCCTGGCACCCCACCTTGGTCTGGCACCCCCGCTCCACCATCCCACCACAGCCGACACCCACCATGTTCTGCGCGTGCTCCCTGGTGGTCAGCGCACATCATAGTGACCGGTTGTTCAGTTGTTCCGCCATATATATAATGGTGGACCAGATAATATGGATTGGAAAGAAAAGAAATGAAAACTAGAAGGGGTGGATGGATGGTGATAAAATAGTGATGTGTGTAGATTAGAGTGACTCCTTGTGGCTGAGAAATTGTTGTTGTTGGGTAAGTTAGAGGACTAGGAGGGGATGCATTGAGAGTGGGAAATTTTGCTTGATATTGAGCTTTCAGAGGGATAAAGTTTTTGGAAATGATAAGGTCCAGGGTGTGTCCAAAGAGTGAAAATGAAGGAATCACTGAAGTTGAGGGTGATGGCGATGTCAAGGAACTGAGAGGTCAGCTGGACAATGGGTGACTTCTGAGGATGCTGAAATTACAGAGAATGACAGGAGTTAAAGTGGGGGGAAAGCAATGAACTAGGGCAGTGGTCAGCAAACTCATTAGTCAACAGAGCCAAATATAAACAGTACTTCTTCAAAATAGACTCGCCCAGGCCAAAAACTGACTTCTGCGCATGGGCCATGAAGTTTCAATCACACTGTATGCACGCCTGCATGTGGTATTTTGTGGAAGAGCCACACTCTAGGGGCCAAAGAGCCGCATGTGGCTCGCGAGCCACAGTTTGCCGACCACGGAACTAGGGAATAGAGTTTTCAGAAGATGAGGAGGCCTGTGTGGGGTAGGATGGTGGGGAGAGCAGCATGACCCTGAAAGCCAGGAGTTATAATGTGGGGGAGTAACAATCAGAGAGTGGCAGCAGGAAGACTCACCTTCTGCTCTGAAGTACAGGAGCCCACACTGAGGATGTAACAGAGGATGCACTGTCCTCAGGGGACAGACAGGTGTCAGTGAAGGAGCAGATAAAGGAACCCGCTTTGAGAATTTGATAAACACAAAGTGAAATTTCCAGAAAGAAAGGATGTGAGGAGAGACCCGGCGGGGTCAGGGGGATAGGGATGCATAGAGCCACCTATGGATGAGAGAGGGTAGTGAGCAGCGACCAGAGAAGCATAGCCACCTCCTGCATCTGAGTGTAACTCGTTCACTCCAAACATTCGCGTTGTGTGGCATGCTCTGTTTGAGGTGATTTGACAGTTCCCATTGTGTTTTACCAACAGAAATGCCAGCTGATGCCAGAGAGGATCATTCGTGTCTTCAAAAGGTCCCAAAGATGCCTAGGTCTTCCCGAAGCCCCACTGCTGCCCTCCCCAAGCCTTCTGCTCCCTTTGAACAAGCGTCTTCAGGAGGCCAGCTCTCATTTGATCACTACGGCACAGACAGTGATGAGCACCTTGAAGTCTTATTAAATTCCCACAGCCCCTTGGGAAAGGTGAGCGATGTTGCCCTTCTAAAAATTGGGAGTGAGGAGCCCTCTTTCGATGGCATAATGGATGGATTCTCTGGGAAGGCTGCAGAAGACCTCTTCAATGCGCACGAGATCTTGCCAGGTCCCCTCTCCCCGATACACACTCAGTTTTCACCTTCTTCTGTGGACAGCAGTGGGCTGCAGTTAAGCTTCACTGAATCTCCCTGGGAAACCATGGAGTGGCTGGACCTCACTCCCCCAAGTTCCACACCAAGCTTCAGCTCACTCAGCACCAGCGGGCCTAGCATCTTCAACATCGATTTTCTGGATGTCACAGATCTGAATTTGAATTCCCCCATGGACCTGCACTTACAGCAGTGGTAGAATGCCTGATGCAAAAATGCTAAGGAAGGCCAATAGGAATTCTACAACCACAAATACTTGTATTACCCAAAAGGAGGAGCAGGAAGACGGGGAGGCAGAGGAGGAAGAAATTTAAAAGAAGCAGTGGAGATTTCTATGACTATCAACAGCACAAATAGGAGTCCTTTATATATATATATATATATATATATATATATATATATATATATATATATATATATAGTAATACTTACCAACATTCAATGACTGTTACTGATTTTAGCAATGCACTTAAAATGTGCTTTCTCAGATCAAGAATGCCAAAAAAAATCTTTCACTACCTTTTCAAACACCAATATATTTTCTAGCCCATTTTTAATTAAGACATTGTTGGGGCATAATCTCACTTTGTAAGCTTTTCTCGTGAATTTATTGGAAAGAAAATGTAAACTTGGGAGTTCAGGGAAGTCAGTCCATCAAAGGTTATAGAAGACACACCTGTGATGGAGGCTGATTCTCATAGCTCCATTCCTGTCTTTCAAAATACAAGTAAGGCCCAGTTTCAGTTACAGAGTTCTTGAGGCAGAATAGAGGGGCAGAACCAATTCATTCCCAGGGGAGAAAAATCAACTCAGTGTCCCTTGGCCACAAAGCTGCTCCATTGGAACGATCTCCAATCTCCTACCCAGGAGTCTGTGTGGTCACTGATAAAAACTGACCCGCCATTGTTGCAGAGAACCCTTCCCGGAACTTCCCTTTTTCTTAACCAATTAGCTGCATCACTCCCACTCTCTCTGTGGTGGGAAGCATTGTGAAACAGGCAAGAAACTCCTGCCATGGGAGGTTCTCCAGCACAACCCTCCTTAGTTCCAAAGACTAGTGCTGACCTAAGCAGATGAAAGGACCGCGCTAGCCTCAGGGAGCCATATCAGGGATCACTCAGACAGCACTAGAGAACACTGTTTCCCATATCATGGGAATACTAGTAAGCCATAGGCTATTATAACAGGACTATGTGTGAGGCCCAACTTCTTTTTCTGGGATGGGCATGGTCTTGTTTATTTTTCTCCCACTCAACTTTTCTTTCAAGAGACCAATCCTTTCTTGCTCCTCGTTCAGATATCTTTCTTTTTTTGCCCCGACATTGAGAGAAGAGGACTTCTTACTGTAGATCTAATAAGCTCCCATACTCCTAATAAAGCCATATTTCAAAAAGCTAAAACTCCAGGTTTTCCTGGAAAACGCATTCTCCATATGCATAACTTGCTGCAGAAGGAAGTTGAAAGAATATCTTTAGGAAGAAACTGGTGACTTGGCCCATCAGTCACCACGCTCATTCTCCCCTCGTTTGATTTGCAGCAATCATTGATTTGGGAAATTGGAAATCATTATATTGTAGAGATACAAGGAGAGAGTGTTTTAGGTATGGATTTCTGAAAGAAAACACAATTGTGCGTTGAAAACAGTGGGAGGAAGAAAAGACAGTGGTGTCGTGTGCATTCCTCATTACCTCTCACGCTTGTGCTGGGGGTTGGAAAACTCAGCTGTTGGGACGGTCTCCCCAAGGTGCACTGTGGCTCACCGTGTTTATAGTGTTGCATGCCGTAGAAAGTAGCTGTTGTTGTTGTTTTAATTTAAATCACTAAGGCACTGTTTTCTTATTTTGTAAAAAATGTTGTTCACTGTGCACTTATGGAGAAAATAACCAAAAATGTTGTGATTTTAGAAGTTCTTTTTTTGATAAACCAAAGATTTAGAAATCATTCCATTGTTAACTTGTAAAACTTGTGTGAACAGAGTTTTTGGTGACTGTTACTCTGAAAGCTGCCAGAGCTTATTAGGGGTGGGGGATATGTATATATGTGTGTGTGTGTGTGTGTGTGTCTATGTATGTACACATATATACATACATGTGTATAGACACATACACATGTGTGTATGAATCTTGTAAAGCAGTGTTACAGAGATCTATGCCAAAAACCTTTAAGCCTCAATCTGCTGTGAAATGATACTTGGTCTTTCTCACTACGAGTTTCTAGTTAACCAACCAGACTACACATTGCCTCTCTGTGTGTGACTGAGGCTCCAGCCGATGACTCACAGCCACTTGCTTACTGTGAACAAGCTCATATTGACAATGGACATGGATGTGAAAGACAGAACAGCTTCACCATTAGCAGCTGGAAACGGCAATACAGTCTCTCCTGGAGAGCATAAAAGGAACATTAAAACCCTTTTACATTCCTTGATCTGCATTGCGCTTTAAAAGATCCACATGGTAAATTTTTCATTTTGCTTTTATGTCGGTCATCAGAACCAAAAATCTAGGGGGGACTGGAGGGGATGACCAATCTTTTTTTGAAGATGAAGCATGGGGAAGAAACCCTTATTAACACATTCCTCACATTTGTTTATTCCTCAGATGTTGAAATTCTATTTGGATCTTAACAAAGCTTGCTGGTCAGTACATTTTTCATGTGTTACGTTGTGTGATTTGTATGTTATCCTCCCCACCCTTTACTTCCTTTGGAAAACAAACTCATAGCGTCCCTCCTCTGAGACAATAGTCTGAGTGTTAATTATTTTTTCCTTTGGGTCGTCCCATCTGAAGAAATAGGCTTGGTTAGGAGGCCTCTGAACTTTGCAAGTTTCTGCATCTTTAGGGATCTTTTTAGGTTATTACCTTGTACACACCTCACAGTTGACAAAAGACGGACCCTACTTGCTGCTGCAAACCAACACACTTAACACAGATCAGACCCTGGATTATTGATCTCAACCTCCTTCCACAGTCTCCACACAGCATACTCACTCTGTCTCTTCATAGCTCAGGTGTATTTGTGGGATAAAACCGGGGATAATTGGGAGAAATTTGATGAAGTTGGCTTCCCCCCATGGGTCAGATCATTCATGTTAATTCATCTGTCTCCTATTGGGGATTTTTAAGTTCTTTAATCTCTTAGTTGTGTCCTCTGTTTTGGTGACAAATTGGGCCTGATAAAAAGATGTACAGAGACTTATAAAGATGGCCACATCCATGTTTCTTAATTATCTTAGGCCTGAAAATAACTACCTGTGGTTTTCTTAATATTCTTGGCACCCCATGGTGCAGCAGACCTGCAGACATTTGCAGACATTTGAATGCTGATGCAGTCCCTTAGGTTCAGACTTTCCAAAGGAGTAGAAAATTCATTTGTGCAAATGCTGTCATTAAGCCGGTGCTTATTAGTTGTAGCCCTGCTTCTAACAATGTTATTGATATGACACACATATTATATTATGAAGGAGAGAGAGGAAAGGGGGGAGGGAAGGAGGAGGGGAAGAAGGAAGGAAAGAAGGAAGGAAGGGGAAAAAGGAGGGAAAGAAGAACAGGAGGGAGGGAGAGAGGAGAGAACAAAGGTCCCAACTTCCTGATCTGTGGACCTCTCAGTTCACCTAAGGCATTGCATGTTGAAAAGTGAACCACAAAGTTTTAGATGAAAAGTCATCCTTTAGAAATGCAATGATTGCACCATAAATAAGGAAACCAAGAGCGTCTCTACCTGAGTAGTCAAGGGTCTGAGAACTGGAGACCTTTGCCATTCAAAGCATTTATTTCCAATCTGAAAACAAAGAATGAATTAAAAACAAGCATTTGAGACACTCCTTTTCAAAAATTATTTAAATTCTATCAGCTCTCCTAAAAACAGATCATGGTGTGGCTGAAAACTCCTGCATCCAATTTACTCATCCAATAGATAATTACTTGATGTCTAACCTGTACAGATCACACAAATCCTCAGATATCCAATACCAAACTGAATAAGCAGATGGTTCAGAATTTGAGTGGCTGGGGAGTTGCAGTTGCTATAAGCAAGAACACTGGGAATTTCCCAGTCCTCAGACCAGAAACCCCTTAGCCGTGATAAAAAGGACGTCTTCATTTTTCCAGAAGAGAGAACAGAGGACTCCTTTTTAGCTAAGAGCTATCACCCACACTAACATTATTTTCTTGTCTCTTTCTCAATGACCAAACAGCATTAGTAGATCACCTGGAGATCTTTCAATATCTCCCACCACATCAAACATTTGTAAGCATTTTAGGATTCTTTTTATCTCCAGATACAGAAACCCATGAAAATTGGGGATGGGAGAGGAAAACATCTTGCCCTATCACTGATCCTCCATCTCCATAGCAAGCTCTCTGGACAACAAGGACACTTACTGCAGGGGCGGGGTGTCCAAGGTGAGCCTCCATCCTTAGCAGAAAAGCTGTGGAATGTGAAGGCACTACCTTCCGCCTTGGGTTTTGCCGCATTCCTCACAGTGGGAAGCCCACCAAAGCTGGCACACTGCTTGCTATCAGAGATGAGAGAACTTGGAGTGAAAGGGTCTGGGCTCTTTGTTTTCCTATAAATCCAGCATCACCCCGCAGGGTGGTGCAGAGGCTGAAATTGCTAGTGCCTTGTTAGAAAGATGGTATTCATAGACCCTGAATCCAGGCCCTGGAAAAAGATGGGCCTCTGGTGCTGAGAGCGGCTCCGGTGTGTTCGGGAGCTGGGTTTGATCGGAGAATCCACATTTTCAGAGGCCCCCAGGTTGAGACTATGCATGAAAAGATAAGTTTAAGACAAGAAAAGATCTTGGAAGAATTTTGCTAGCATCTGCCAGGGAAATCATGAGGATTCATTGAGTTCAATCATGTGCCAGTAAGTTCCTTCGGATTCTAGGATTTGGCAATTTCCCCTGTGAATTAAGACAAACTCCTGAAAGTCTCTTGTGCTTATTTTAACCACCTGCTGGCAACATGAGTTTCCCATAAATGGCGTAACAGCTTCTGAGCGTTCATGGAAAGGGAGTATAACCATGGGGATTCTGGATGCTATTCTGATGTTTTCCAAAGGAAGGGAAGCCACATGCCCGCAGGGTTCCTCTCCAAAGTGGAAAGAGGGCAGTGCTTGCTGGGTGCTTGAAACCCTCCTTGCTGAAACACAACACGGTGCTTTGTAAAGAAATAAAAAGACCAAGCGCACATTTTCTGTGGGGACCCCATGAGGTGTTGTTTTCATGTTGGTCTCCTTGGCTCAACTATACATAACCAGAAAGAAATGTGGGTTGCCAGGAAGAGAAAAGAAGCAATGGCTAAAATATCAAAGTTGGCATGTGTTCTTTTAAAATATATATATATTTTTAAATA